TCTTCATTGTTTCAGGTATTTCTTTCCCCCTCTGGATTCCCCACGGGCTGGATCGAGATGGTCCAGTTATGCCCAGCTCCTTCCTCCTCCTCCTCTTCCTCCTCTGGTAGAGCACTCTTGCGATGCTGACACTGCCAACCTCCAGTATCCTCACCCTCGCAGACGATATCTCTCTCGGCCTCTTAATCCCTTACCTGAGAATGAAGGGGTTTAAAACACTGACTTAACATTGAAAGGCCTTATTCAAGTGCTTGTAAATGCTTTCATTTCTGGCTGCTATTTTTCTTCATTTTCTTTCAGAAGATTTTTCTAACTTAGGGTCTGTCTTGCATGTATTACAACCAGAATACAGTGTTCAGAGCCTAAATCTGTTTGTGCGTCTGGAGCAAAGGAACATTTGCTTCTCTGGGTGATAACTGATGAAATGAGGTATGTCCAAATAATGTTAACTGTGAAATTATACACAGTAGCTGACTTCAAAGTGCCTGTTCTGTAATTTTATTTTGAACTGTTACCATAGTCTTAAGTTGCTTATGCTTTATCAGACTGGCTAATGTGAAAGCATATTATTATGAAGTTTATTCTGCCTTTGAGACCTTAAGAAATGGATTTAATTTTACAGGCTAATGTTGCAACTGACGAGTACGTAAAATAAAATAAATCATTCCTGTGTATAAAGCAGCAAAACCTAATGTGAACTTTTTGGTCTTTTTTATTTTTAAAGGAAATTTGCCTTTTACCGCTTAGAATTACTGTTTAAAGCTTTTGTAATTATCCAAGTAGGTCATATAATAAAATATATTTTTAAATACATGAATCTCTTGCCTTATAAAAATAGGATATATTTTATTTAAGATAGTTTCTAAGGCTTACTTTCCTTTCATGATCTCACAAAAAACCCAAACAAATAAAAATTAGGAGATGTGAGCAAATATTACATTTATTTAAAAGGTAGAAAGTCAGTATGTAGACTAACATATAGAATGGACAGATGTTGACTTTCAATCTAGTCAACATTAGAAAAGATTTTTTTCTAAAATATTTTAAAATTAGAATGTACTTGACAGTAATTGGGGCAAAATGGTTAAAACTAGTAATAGGCATTTTGGTTCAGGTTTGTGAAGAATTATCAAGGGTTTAACCTATTAGGCCTAGAGACAGACAGGTGTTTTGAACAGTATTTCATGTGTCTTATCAGGTAATCACATACGTGACACAATTGTTATAAGTATTCTAATTTTCAAAGACACCTTTCCTTGAATAGTGTCATATCCCTAGAACTTCTTAATATGCAAAGGATTAAGAGCTGATAGAAATATTCTATTCATTTTATAAGACAGGGTCTCACTCTGTTGCTGAGGCTAGAGTGTAGTGGCATGATCATGGCTCGCTGCAGCCTTGAACTCCCGGGCTCAAGCGCTCCTCCCACCTCAGTCTCCTGAGTAGCTGGGACTACAGGTGCACACCACCATGCCCTGGCTAATATTTTTATTTTTGTAGCAAGGGGTCTCACTTTTTCCCCAGGCTGGTCTCAAATTCCAGGCTCAATCCATCATCCCATCTCTGCCTCCCAAAGTGCTGGAGTTGTAGGCGTGAGCCACCTCACCTAGCCTATTCATTTTAGTTTAAGGAACAGTTGAGTTGTATTGTCTAGTCATCAAAATGTTTTGTCTCTAAGGTTAGCATTTCAATGTGAATGCCTTTTTAAAATAATTCTCAAAGGTATTTCTTTTCTTAAACAAGGCAAGGATCAAACAAGAAGTCTTACTGCTGAATCTAACTCAGAATTAAGAAGGCGTGCCTTTGAGCTTTCAATCATAGAGGTACCTGGGGTTAGAATGGAATAATGAAATTGAGACCATTCTCCAATTTAGTGAATCTTGAGCATCTAGGATGTGCAAGATACTGTGCTAAACACTGGGGTATGTAAAAAAAAGGTAGTCTGCGCACAGACTTGCACTCGTGGGAGAAGGCATTTCTAGAATTTACAAAAGGTAATGTGTTCAGTTTTGTAATAATGGTAGAAATTGTATAGTAGGCATAAAAGAGACAAGTTATTTAAGCTGGCAGAATTTGGAAAGGGTGCCTGATTTCAACAGTTAAAAAAAAGGCCAGGTGTGTTTAGGGAACAGGATATAAGTAACAGTCTGATGAAAGAGTAGATTATATTTAGGGAACAAGTGGGACATTATTCTGAAATACCTTGTGGTTACATTGTAGAAGGTTTTAAGTATTGGTGACTGAGGCATACCACTTTAAGCAGTTGGTAAAAGGGGAGCTAGGAGAGATGTCTGAACTTAAAACTAGATAGGCCTTACTTATTCCCTGGGAGGCACCCTGCATGGGGCCTCTGCAGGCTCTACTCAGTATCTAAAGAGATGTGGAAATCGCAGTGGGAGTTCTGTTCCTCCTTTCCAGTTGGCAAGTGAGGTGAGATACTGAAGTATAATAGCTAATGTTTGTTGGGTATTTCCATGGACCAGTACTTTTCTAGATACCTTACAGGAATAGCTTTAAATCCTCACAGTAAGCCTCTAAAGCAAGTGCTTTAATTGTCCCCATTTTACAGACAAGGAAACTGGCCAGTTAAAGCTACTTGCCCAAGGCTACACAGTTTGGAAGAGGGAGCTAGAGCGAGGATTCAGATCCAGGCAGCTTGGAGTCCAGGCTCTCCTGCTGCTGAGACTCTGAATCAGAGATCTCTGTTAATAGAGTCCTGTCAGGTTGCTGAGTATTAACAGGGAGTGCTCTGATGACTTGAGGATATTCGTGGAGGAAGGACATTTATTAACAAGTATCTGGTGTGAGTGACAGTCTGAAACGTGTAGACACATTTAAGCAGTTCACCTCCAATGTGTGACCACTTTGTAGAAAGAGAGGTTAACATGCTTTAAGAAGGGTGGCTCATTACATTCCAGTATACCCTTTCAGCTCTATGCCTAAGTATTTGGTTTACTTCTTTGGGATTCAGAAAATCTTGAGATTTTCTCCGTTTATCTTTGCTCATTGAGTGTGGACAAAGGTAGAATAAAGGTAGTTTACTATTTGCAAATACCAACGCTGCAGGGTTCCAAGAAGGGGTATCAAGAACTGTGGAGACATGACTTGAGTTTGACAATTAGGAGTCCATTCCTGATAAACTTAACGTGTTCAGGACCAAGATAGACACACCATGAAATGAGTCAAAATAAGGTGTAAAAAAGTGGAAGCCTGGCTTCCTCTACGGAAAAAAAAAAGTGGAGACCATTAAGGGAAGAAGACAAGAATGGTCATTAGTAATGAAGCAGAATCAAGGAAGGGGTGTGTGTGGTGTATGGGTGTATTTGTGCGTGGGTGATTGTGTGGGGTGTATGTGGGTATGTGGTTGTATGTGAGTGTGTGGGCTATGTGGTGTGTGGTGTTGAAGCAGGAGGGCCACAAACAAATCTCTGGAACATTGAACAGGGAAGGAAGTGGTAATTTTATTCAGCCAGGAGCTGCAGCAGGCATGGATGCGTCAACAGCTGAGCTCCCGGACAAAGAAAACCCTGGCCCTTTTAAAAGCTTACAGTCTTAAGAGGTGCACATTTGTGAGAGGGTCGAGAGCATTGGGGACGTGACTTAGGTGTGGGGGGTTCTAATCGTGATTAAGCAACAACAGTACCTTGTGGGGAAAATCCCTCCTTGTCATATCCGTGATTTAGACCTGACTGGCGCCAACCGTCCCTCCTCTGGCTTTTAACTTCTTTTGAGATGCAATGTAGAAGGCTAAAGGGGAAATAGCCTTAGAAACCCGGGAGGAGGGGGTCTCCGTGTGTGTGTATGTGTTTGGATGGAGAGGTGCTGCATTTTTGTAGGCAGAGGAGGAGGAGGGGATCTCCTTCCTCATTGTGTGTGTGTGTGAGTGTGTTTGGATAGAGAGGTGCTGCATTTTTGTAGGCAGAGAGAAGGAGGGGGTCTCCTTCCTGTGTCTCAGTGTGTGTGTGTGTGTGTTTGGATAGAGAGGTGCTGCATTTTTTGTAGACAGAGAGAGGGAAACCAGTGGAGAGGATATCCAAGAATGACAGCTGAGCCACGTTTTCAGGAGGTAGAAAGTGGTCAAATAAACAGATATATTTCCCCACTAGGCTAACCTCGGGACTAGGGACTGTTACTTTGCGTTTTTCCTATTCTCTCCACTAAAGTGCGCCGGGCATCTTTCAGTAACTTGAATGAAGTTAAGGAGCAAGCTTTGGAAAGGGACTTTTTTCCCTCTGTGACTATATGGAATAAATTTTGAGATAAAGGGACCTTACTGAAAAAGACTGAGGTACATTTTGAGTGAAAGGTATGGTCTCAGAGAAGTAGTATAGTAGTTAAGGCTTGTGCCGAGCAGATGGCGGTGACGGGATTTGTTGCCTAAGAAGGATGGAGAAAAGCAGGAAGCTACTTAGGAACGAATTATGCCTCATCTCACTTTTTTCCCAATCGAGACAAACCCTACTCTGCCACCAAGAGACGATTAGATGTAGCGCACTGTCATGAAACTTGGATCCCGAGGAATTATTTATTGAAGGTGAAACCTGAGGCATTTCAGCGCCTATAAGGTCGGCTTCTGCCACGGAAGGACGAAACCTATGGGGGGATTTGTTGGCGGGGAATACTTCTTTGCTCATAGAGTGACTGGCGGTGCCCTGGATCCCCAAACAGAATAAGCATTATTTTCAAATTCGACAAGACATTGAAGGCGGCGCCAACGGCAGATGTCCCTCAGGTCCCCGCCAGCGCAGAGCTTCATTTCCTCCTCGGGACTTGCCGGGCGCGCGGCTTCCTCGCTTCAAATCCGGGAACGCGCTGTCCTCACCAATCACCGGGCTTCTTCCCGCCCCATCTCTTCGTGCTGTCCAATCAAACGTTGGCCCCAGTCCCCTCCCCTTGCCGCGTGCCGCGAACAGACGTAAACCAGAGGCTGTTGCAGTACTATAGTTCCGATCTGCAGCCGGTGAGGGGGCGGGGGCACGCGCACGCGCACGCGCACTTGGAGTGACGCGCACTTGGAGTGACCCGCACCCCTTCCCTCCTTGGACCTTCCAGCTTCCCGCTTTCCCCCGCCGCTCGGGACGCGGGCTTGGTGAGCAGTTTCGCCGGTGTCTAGGCCTGCGCACTGGCAGGAGGCAGACTCATCCACCTTTAGCGTACGTTTCGGCTGCCAGGCTGGCGGGTCGTTGACGGTTGGACCGGGCGGAGGCGCAGGCTCCGGGCCGAGGGCTGTGGGGCTGCGAGGCCCGCAGGGCGCGTGAGGAGTGACTGCCGCTCTCTGCGCGCGCTTCCGCTCATGGCCGGGCTTCCGAGCTGAGCTCAGCCGTGGGATTAATTGCATGCCTCTGTGTCATTGGGCTCTGGCCAGGCGTGATGAGGTAGACTCTTGGGGGGATTACATCCTTCTTTCGTCCCTTCCTGTCTGGGGACTTGCAGCTCTTGAGGGACAGGCCGTCTCTGTGCTTCCCTCTGGAGTTTATTGCAGAGTTCTTGTGGAGTGACCAGTGGTAGTTGCTTTATGTGCATTGTGATGGGCGGTTCTATTTCTCTTTTTTGTTTAAAATTCTGACCCAGGAAGTAACCTTGTTACCTTAATGCTTAATGCCCTTGTCTTCCGTTTACTCACTTGATTTGGTTTCTGCTAGGGCTGTGTTCATTTATTCCTAATAGTTTACCTACATTCCTGGCCTATGATTTCATTATGAACTGAAATGAGACGAATGTTAATACATTCTACTTTTACTTTGTTCTTAATTTCAGAGTTTGTTTAGTAAAACATGAGGACCTTTTTAAGGCAGTCGTTTGGAGGACAGCTGTTTATATGACAATATTTCCATTTGTTGTTGTTAATTTGAGGTCATTCGATTGGTGTTTGTACTGCTCCAAAATCAACTTTTTTCTCCAAATTTCAGTTTTCTGGGCAAAGTTTACGATAAGCCTTTAACAATAACATACCAAATGCCTACATAATTTTAAAGTATATCTTAAAGTGCCAAGAGTAAATGATGAGTTTTAGGGAAGTTTGACTCGGCTTTGGGTTCCACAGCATATGCTTTTAAATGTGTTTAACTGTATACATAGACGTACGATTAATGGCTATGGTCAATCTTTTATGTACCTACGAATGTAATTAGTGAAGCCAGATGTGAAATTTGAGGTCACTACGTTAAAGAAATAACAAGAGAAATTGCAAATATAGCTACTGAGTTCAAATATGGTAGAAGAAAAGATAACATACTGTCTTTACTTGAGATGATGGAGGAGGGGTGAGTAATGCAAAAAAGTGGGAAATTAAAGGAAATTTCCTTTAGGAATGTTATGTTCATGAATGGTTTACAAGTGTAATCCTTTCTGGAAAAGAGACTAGGTATTAAGTTACATCTTGAGGAATCTTCCCGTGGGTTTTTTTGCCTTTGCACCCTTAGCAGAGCTCTGTTGAAGTACTTAGCGCTACGGTAGTTGACAGGGATTGTCAGCTCCCTGAGGGGAACTGCCTTATTTATTTTTGCATTCTTGGTGCCAAGTAGAGTGTTCATGGGTTATGTTTGATAATGATTGTTGCATGAATTATTTTTGCATTATTATTATTATTTTTTTTTTTTTGAGTTGGAGTCTCGCTCTGTAGACCAGGCTGGAGTGCAGTGGTGCGATCTTGGCTCACTGCAACCTCCACCTCCAGGTATTGGTTCAAGCAGTTCTCATACCTCAGACTCCCAAGTAGCTGAGGTTACAGGCACGAGCCACCGTGCCCAGCTAATTTTTTTTTGTATTTTTTAGTGGAGATAGGATTTCACCATGTTGGCCAGTCTTGTCTTGAACTCCTCACCTTGTGATCCACCCGGCTTGGCCTCCCTAAGTGCTGGGATTACAGGCATGAGCCACGATGCCCAGCCTCTTTGCATAATTTGTAAGTTTTCTTTAGATTAGGCCCCTTCTAGATAGGAATAACGGAAGAGTTTTGTATAAATTTTAATCGTTTACATGTCTGTATATGAATGAATAGTAATTACAAGGCTAGACTTGGGGAGGCTAGTTGGGAGACTTGTGTGATAGTTCAGAATAAAAAGTGATGGGCAGCTGGCATTAGGAATAGAGAACTGGGTCTCAGCTCCAGAAGTGTATTTGAAGTTAGAAGCATTAGAATTTGGTGAGAGAGCAGGAGTGATCAGAATGGTCCTAGGTGTCCGGATTGTATTGCCAGTTAATAGGAATGGACTTGGGTGAGGACTAAAGATAACAGAAGGAATGAATGGAGGAAAGGTAAGAAGTTTGGTTTTGTATTTTGTATTGCATTGAGGGGTAAGGTGGATGTCAGAGGGGCATTTGGAAGTATGATCGATTTTTCAAGTTATCCATGGGATTGGTTCCAGGACCTGTCCCTGCCCCAGGATACTGAAATTCTCTGGATGCTCAAGTTCCTTACATAAATTGGTGTAGTATTTGCATATAACTGATGCATATGCTCCTGTATACTTATTTAAGACAGAGTCTCATTTTGTTGCCCAGGCTGGATTACAATGGGTGTTCACATACGTGGTCATAGCTCACTGCAGCCTCAAACTTTTGGTCTCAAGCAATCTTTCCACCTTGGCCTCCAGAGTAATTGAGACTTCAGGCATGCACCACCAGGAGTTGGAATTAGTGCAGAGGAAGGAATACCCTGGGGCCAGACTTGCTTGGGTGGAAATCCTCTGGCTTCACTTGTGCTGTGTGGACTGGAAACGTCTCTTCTCTCAGCCTTAGTTTACTCAATAATAGGGATAATGGCTACCTTACAAATTTACATGGGGATTAGAAAAATGTATGCGAAATACTTAGCTATTACTTGATAATAGACACTGAGTATCAGCAAACTGGGGGTTATAGATTCTTTCTTACAACTCATATTTTCAACTTGTAGTTCCAGTTCTCTGTCAGGTATTGGGAATATATGGATGAACAAGATAGACATTTCCCCGAGAAGCTGCTCTTCTAAATATATAAGGGTTAAAGTTGAGGTTACCCACTGACTGAGAATGTTGTCAGTCATTTGTTTCACAGATACTTACTGAGTACCTACTGTGTGCTAGGCATTGTTCTTAGTGTTAGGAAACGGTGATGGGCAGATAGGCAAGGTGCCTGCTCTTAGGGAGAGATTATTTCATTGGAAGAAAACAGATTAATACAAGAATAAAGAGTGATAAATGCTGACGAAATTTAAATGGATGTGATAGACTGTGGTACTGCTTGACTTAATAATAGAGATAAACTTTCTTAGAAGGCAGCATATAAATTGAGGTGAATATCAAGAAGGAAGGAGCTGGCTATGCAAATATCTGGAAGAAGAATATTCTAGATCCTGTGGTAGGGGTGGGCTTTTTGCTTGCTTCGTGGTTAATTAATTGTAGGGCAGCTAGAATACATGGAGAGGGGTCAGGAGGCTTTTCAGTAGGGTAAGGTCGTAATAGTGGAGATAGGTAGATATAGACTATTTCAGTGTGTGTTTGGAGCATACACATGTTTTGTCCTCAGGAATGGACTATACTAGCAGATGTGTTTTGTTTGACAACAGTGTTTGTATTGAATTTAACTGGCTTTAAGTTAGAGCCTGTAATTTCCAGCTGACATCAGTCCTTAAAGTCCTGCTTTCTAACAGTATTTGTTTCTGAAGATATTTGAGTTTGAGATCCCTAGTGTGTAAGAAGTAAATTGCATGATGTAAGTCTGAGGTCAGAATCCTGGGTAACCCTAACATACGAGAAGCAGATAAAGGAAGAGGATGTCAGATGAGTTGTGAAAGTACTGATTGTGGAGTATTCTCCTAAGATGCTTGGCCATGAAGGGAAGAGAAAACGAAAATGGAGAGAAAAATTCTCATCCCATACTCTGCCTGTAAAAGTTCTTCTCAGTCTTCAAGGCGCCTTGCTAATAACCTCTCATTTTTTAGCTTTCCTGATTTATTTATCTTTTTTTCCTCCTGTCATTATTCCCTTTACTGAATTCCACGCAGTGTATATATGATACGTACTCTGAAAAAGAAGGTGGTGGCAGGATGTGCAAATGAAAGATCAGGGCAGCCTCCTTCATCCTAAAATGAGAGAGTTTTGAACATGTTTATGGAAATCAAGAAGAGAGAATGGTTGGAAATATCAAAGAGAAGAAAATACTGGGGCATGATCTGAAAGGAGGGTGATTATACGATGGTGCTGAATTTGCTATGTATTGACATAGTTTAAAAATTTAAAAATTTTATTCATTCACTCAGGTTTATTGAGGGTCTTGTGCCAGCACTTTTCTAGCTGGGAATGCAGTGGCAAACCACATGGTCAAAGTCTCTGCCCTCACAGAGTTTACATTCTAAAGTGGGGAGAAAAAGAGATAACAAGTGAATTAAATAGCATGCCAGGTGGTGGTTAGTACTATAGAACAGAGAAAGCAGGGAAAGGAAGTTGGGAGTGCCCTGTTCAAATCTGTAGGCTGATGAGCCAAGGCCTGACAGTTGAGTGAACATTTGCACAAAGACCTGAAAGAAGTGAGGGTGCAAGATGTGTGAATAGCTAGAGTATCAGGGGCTGGGCAGAGGTCAGAGCTAGGGCGGAAGTCCTGGAGGGAAACAGTTTAGCTTGTTTCAGAACAGCAGGGAGGTTAGGATGACTGGAATGAAGTGAGCAAGGGAGACGAGGTCAGAGATTATATGGGCCCTGATTGGCCATTTTAAAGGCCCTGATTAGCCTTTTACTCTGAATGAGATGGGGAACCAGTGGAGGGAGGGTTTGAGCTAAGGAGCGAGGACCTTTGACTAATGTTGTAGGGGTGACTTTCAGAATAGACTAAGGGAGGCAGAGAGGAGGCCTGAAGACCAAAGGCTATTGCAGTGGGTGTCCAGACAGGAAGTGGTGGTGGCTTGACCGAGGTGATAGCAGGGTGGAGGTTAGGATGAGGGATGTGGCAAATTCCTGAGCGTATTGTTAATGTATAACTAGGGATTTGCATAGGAATTGCACATGACGGGGTGTGAGAGGGATCTCAGAGATGACTAAGGTTTTTGGCCCAAGCAGCTAGGTGTTTGAGTTGTCATTTTTGCTGGTGGAGAAGGCTGAAGGGCAGGCTTTTCTTGAGGGGATGGAAATGAATTGGAATCAAGATTCAAATGCAGGCGCTGATTAGACATCTTAAGTGGGAAGTGTCATGTAGGCAGTTGAATATCTGAGGGTTGGGGAGAGGCCCAAGATGGAGGTATACATTTTATATGATATTTTAAGCTTTGAAATTGAAGGCAATCACCCAGAGAGGGTAAGCTGATGGAAGAAGTCAAAGATCAAGCCCTGGAGGCTTCCACTGTGGAGGTCCAGGAGATAAGGAGGAATTGGCCAAGGAGAAGGAAAAGCAGCAGCTGGTAGAGTTGGGAGAGAACCATACAGCTGTGTCTTAGAAACCATGTGAAGAAAGTATTTCCCCAAGGAAGGAATAATCAGCTGAATGTTAGGTTACAGGAAAAGGACTGGAAGTTGATCATGGTATGCTAGGACTTGGCAACAGGGAGATCAGGGCTGATGCTGACAAGCATTGTTTTTGGTTGTGTAGTGGGATAAAAGCCAGATTGGGGTGTGTTCAAGAAGCATGTGATAAAGGAAGCATGGATAGGTGTGGTGGCAGTTGATGGGGTGTGAGATAGAGGAAGGCTTTTTTAAAAGGTGGGGGAAATAACAGCTTGCACAGCATGGGAAGGCTTGCACAGACAGAAGATTCGATGATGTTAAGAAAGGGGGCTGATTGGTAGAGTGGTTTTTCAGTGCAGTAAGGGGTTGGGGTCGAGTGCAAAGTAGAGAAGTGGGCCTCAGTCGGGGACATGGAGACTTCATAATCAAGTAAGATCTTATTTTTTGGGGTGACAGAGTCTTGCCCCGTCACCCAGGCTGGAGTGCAGGGGCGTAATCTCGGCTCACTGCAACCACCACCTCCCAGGTTCAGGCGATTCTCCTGCCTCAGCCCCCCAGGTGGCTGGGAATACAGGCACCCGCCACAACACCTGGCTAATTTTTATGCTTTTAGTAGAGATGAGGTTTCATCATGTTGGCCAGGCTGGTTTTGAACTCCTGATCTGAAGTGATTTGCCTGTCTCAGCCTTCCAAAATGCTGGGATTACAGGCATGAGCTGCTGCACCTGGTCTCATAATCTCTTTAGTGGTCGTAAAACTTTTTCTATTTTATAGAGTAATTAAATTAGTCCATATTGTCTAAAATATATGCTTTAATCCAGTTTGTCATTGATCCCTAGGATCAATACTCCTTTATTACTGAAGTAGCTCTTTGAATAGTCTTCCAGGCTTTGAAGTCTTCTCCCTTCTTATACTACAGGCTGATTGTGTCAGTCCTTTGTTAGTTGCAGAATACAGTTCAAACTTTCTAATACACCAATTCAGACTTTTAGAATCTAGTTCCATTCTGTTATTCTAGCTTCATTTACTGTGTTATTTTATTTACCTGCTGCCAAAATACATTGGCGTATTTGCTACTGCTAGCATAGACATAGCACTTAGAATGGATTTTCAAGTCAGACCTGGGTTTGAATCTTACTAATTACAACCTTGGGAAAATTTAGCTGATTTAGTCTCTCAGTTTGTTTCTTCATCTGTAAAATGGGATAATACCTACACTGTAAGGTTTTCTGTGGTTTCAGTGTGTTAGTAGGTATACAATAAAATTTAATTCTTTTCCTTCTTTGCTCACATTTGTCATCCTAAAAAGCTCTCTCATCCCATACTCTGCCTGTAAAAGTTCTTAGTCTTCAAAGCACATTGCCAATATCCTCTCATTTTTTTTTAGCTTTTTCTAATGTATTTATCTTTTGTCCTCCTGTTATTATTTCCTTTACTGAATTCCATGCAGTGTGTATATAATACGTACTCTGAAAAATTGTTGAGACTGGCTAACATTTTCAGAGCACTGTGGTCAGGGTCTCTAGTAATAGCATAGGTTTTGTGCTGGTGTTTTCCAGATACAGTCATTCGTGTACCCCTTTTACCACTTTTGCCTTGTCTATGTGCCAACTGTACTTTAACTGAAAAGTTTGCTTTGAATGCACTCACTTTTTAATTCACTTTTAACAGCACTTTGAGATCCGGGCTAAATTTTTGCTAGTTGTACTTTTTCTGTTCCATATTAGAATGAGTACATAACTATCAAACTTTTACATATGGCTTCAAATCATTTGTATATACTATCAGTATTATGCCATCTTTGCTTTCTTTACTAGATAAATTTGTATTAATTCATTTTTCTTGCTACACCAAGCGAAGAGTAAATTAAGATGTGTATTGCATTATTAATGTTAATTTTAAAAGGTAAGTTTAATGTTTAAGGTTTCTGTTCTCAGCTATAAAGTAGCAAAGTATTCTGAGATTTTACCTCAGACTATTTGCCTATTTCCCACTCTTACTGATGCTAAAAACAGGGATTTTTTTTCCCCTAAGATTTATTAGTTTTCTGAGACGATACTTTTAATCATTTAAAAACATTCTATAGTAATATGTGACCTGTGGAAATACTTTGTTATTGCAGTGAGATGGAAGATTTTCGAGGGATAGCAGAAGAATCATTTCCAAGCTTTCTAACCAATTCATTATTTGGTAACAGTGAGATTTTGGAAAATGTCACTCTTTCTTCAAATCTTGGCTTGCCTGTTGCAGTTTCCACACTTGCTAGGAATACATCCAGCACTGAAAACAGGTAAGATTTGTTTGAGCAGATTCTTTTCCAGGTCCATAAAACCTACAGCATACTGATATTTATGTAATATTTCTCAGTCAAGCTTGAACTTTTTGTTTTATGAGTGAGGGAGATGGCCAAATATGTGAAATGAATATAGAAAAGACAGAATTTACTGTCTCTTTCCCTATTGCATTGCCTTTTCAGTGGGTAGGTTTGGGTGGGTTTGGAATTTGAGCACTAGTTATCTATTTTGGTCTATTACTTTTTTTGTCTACTGTGTTTTGGATTTGTATTAGTTCAGTCATATTAATGGCTAGTAATGTAAAACAAGTTGTGTTAGCGAAGTTCAAAGGAAAATTAATCATAAGGTTAAAGGAGTATCTCTTGGCATCAAGGACAGGAAATGCAGAGCTTTGCTGCAAGAAGGGACTGGAATTGGGATTTGGGAAGCTATCAGGTCTTAGGTTTTTGTCATCCCACTCTATGTCTCTCTGTATAGCTCTTTCATTCTCTTTTCTCTCTCTTTTCCTTTTTTTTTTGGCTAATTAAAAAAATTTTTTTTGTAAAGATAGGGTCTTGATGTGTTAGCTAGGCTGTTCTTGAACTCTTGGGGCTCAAGTGATCCTCCCGCCTCAGCTTCTCAAAGTGTTGGGATTACAGGTGTGAGCTACTATACCTGGCCTCTTCTCTTTTTCAATACACTGATTTTATTTGCTTTTCTGTTCATGTTCTAGAATATGGCAGCACAAATTCTCAAAAGACATCTATGAATTACATTTCTAGCTACACAAGGAGACTAATGAACTGTCTCTTGAAATCTCACAAGTTTCTGGTCCATCTTAAGTTAGGTATCTGTTCCAAATCCAGTCACCTGTGACTAGAGTTTTGGGTCATTGAGCCTATTTAGAAGTATGACAGAGCCTCACTTTTTGATTCATTTTAGCCAGATTTATTCTTTACTGGACTTGTGTGGCTATCTCTCTCTTCCAACCTTCAGTCTCTCCTAGGTTTCTGAAGCAACTTGGCTCTTGCCATTCTAGTAACTTTCAGCTCCTGAAGTCAAGTTTCTCTTTCTTAGAAACTCGACCAGGCTGGGCATGGTGGCTCACGCCTGTAATCCCAGCACTTTGGGAGGCCAAGGTGGGCAGATCGCTTGAGGTCAGGAGTTCGAAACCAGCCTGGCCAACATGGCGAAATTTTGTCACTACTAAAAATAAAAATATTAGCCAGGTGTGATGGCGCATGCCTGTAATCTCAGCTACTCAGGAGGCTGAGACGGGAGAATTGCTTGAACTTGGAAGGGGGAGGTTGTGGTGAGCTGAGATTGGGCCAGTGCACTCTAGCCTGGACAACAGAAGGAGACTCTGTCTCAAAAAAATAGAAAAAAAAAAAAAATATTAACCAGCGTTTTTTTTTAACTTTTAAAATGTCCATTTTGTTAGCAGATTTATGTTTCGTTAAATACACCTCGTTTTGTGTCTTCAAATGGATTGTATATAGCATACACGTCCATTACATGTAGGGTCTTGAATAATGTATAAAGTTTGCCTGTGCCTAAATTGGCCATGTTCCTGTCTTCTCTCAACCTAAACATTTAGTGAGGAGCATTGTCTTGACCTTTGGGAGGAAGGGATTGTATTAACGCTCTCAGCTCTTATAGCTTTATGATTTTTGACTGTATTGTTGAATACAGATAAACTCCCTATTGCTTGAGCCACAGGTTTCCATGCTCTGCAGAGGATGGTGGTGTGGAATACAAAGCCCCTATTTGTTTTTACTCCTGATGGTTGGTTTTATTGTCACACAGCCCTATGTAATGATGGCATTTAAATATGTGTAACTTAATTCTTAACAATTAAAACAATTTTTTTTTTTTTGTAGATATCCTGATATCCAGGCATCTTACTTAGTAGAAGGGAGATTTTCAGTTCCATCTGGGTCATCTCCCAGAAACCAGAGTGACACTGAACCAATAGAGAGGGTACAGCTTAGCTTCCAGGATGATGAGTAAGTTCATAACTTCATTTGCTTGTACTATGCTAAAAGTGGGTCTTATGCAGTCTTGTGGAAAATGACAATGTGATTGTGTCTGTAATTAATTCTGATTAATTCTAAGAGTCTTTAAGAGTTTTCTTTTTTTTTTTTTCTGAGGCAGAATCTCACTCCATTTCCCAGGCTATTATGCAATGGCATGATCTCGGCTCACTGCAACCTCTATTTCCCTGGTTCAAGGGATTCTCCTGCCTCAGCTTCCTGATTAGCTGGAATTACAGGCATGTGCCACCATGCCCACCTAATTTTTTTGGTATTTTTAGTAGAGATGGGGTTTCACCGTGTTGGCCAGGCTGGTCTCAAACTCCTGACCTCAAGTGAACTGCCCACCTTGGCTTCCCAAAGTACTGGGATTAGAGTTACAGGCATGAGCCACTGCGCCCAGCAAAGAGTTTTCTTTATGCACTTTAATCACATTTGTAGTCTTTCAAAATATTTTTTTTGGATTCTAAAAATGGTATGTGCTATTGAAAAAAATAGAGAATGTAGAAAATTATTTGGAAGACAACAAAGGCCTGTAATCCCACTAACTAGAGAACAGCCATTGAGTACATTTTTATTTGTAGTCTTTCAGACTATTTTCTATGTGCATTTATGCCTTTAAATCTTTTTTCACTTCTAATATGAGGCTATAGAAAAAGAAAAATGAAAATAATTTTTTTTTTACAAAATAAGATTAAACTCTTATTGTGTTTATTATATTAAAAAAATTAAGATGCAGTATTATGTTTAGCTTTCAATTACAATTAATATAAATCTGTGTCATAGTGTTAATGACTGTATACCCAGGTCTGTATTGGCCATTTGGATTATTGCAGTTTTGCTATACAAAGGTAATGAACTTCCCTATGTGTACATTTATATATACATTTTTCACACCTAAGATATTATTAAGATTTCTAGGATTTAAATTGCTGAGTTAAAAATACTTTGTTATAAAGACCATTAATTTGTAATTAACACATTGCCCTTTAGAAAACTTGTATCCATTTATTCTCCTAGTAGATATATTATGGGAATGCTGACTTCTCTCAATCCTGCCCAACATTTGATGGTGCTATTTTTAATCTTTGATTTTCAGAGGTGAAAATAATTTACATAATACACATGTATATATGCATGGAAGAAAGTCTGTAAGTCTATAAAACCAAAATGATACTAGTGGTATTACAGACAATCTTGTTTTCTGTGTTTAAATTTGTATTTGAATATTATGATATTGAACCTGCTGTAATATCTATTCATTACTTAGATTTATGTTACAAATTGCCTCTTGATAGCCTTTGTATGTAGGTGCTTTCTTTATATTAAAGATGTTAACCAGGCTGGGCGCGGCAGCTCATGCCTATAATCCCAGCACTTTGGGAGGCTGAGGCGGGTGGATCACGAGGTCAAGAGGTCGAGACCTTCCTGGTCAACATGGTGAAACCCCGTCTCTACTAAAAATACAAAAATTAGCTGGGCATGGTGGTGCACACCTGTAATCCCAGCTACTCGGGAGGCTAAGGCAGGAGAATTGCTTGAACCCAGGAGGCAGAGGTTGCGGTGAGCCGAGATCGCGCCATTGCACTCCAGCCTGGGTAACAAGAGCGAAACTCTGTCTCAAAAAAAAAAAAAAAAAAAAAAAAAGCTGTTAACCCTGTGTATTCAGTCCTTCACTGTGTGTTTTTACTGCATGCCTACTCTGTGTCAGCCACTTCTCCAGGTGGTTAGGAAATTCCAGTGACTAAAACAGATGTTAAACAAGACATTAGAATATGCTAATTTTATAGTATATTAGAAGAGAAAAGTGCTGGAAAAAAATAAAATATGATGAGGGTTATTAGGAAGGCTGAAGGCAGTTGTCAGTGTGGGTCTCATTGTGGACATAAGATATGAGCCAAGGGCACAATGGCTCACGCCTGTAATCCCAGTACTCTGGGAGGCTGAGGTGGGTGGATCACCTGAGGTCAGAAGTTTGAGACCAGCCTGACCAACATGGTGGAATCCCATCTCTACCAAAAACACAAAAATTAGCTAGCTGTAGTGGCACATGCCTGTAATCCCAGCTACTTGGGAGGCTGAGGCAGGATAATTACTTGAACCTGGGAAGTGGAGGCTGTAGTGAACCAATATCATGCCACTGCATTCCAGCCTGGGCGACAGAGTGAGACTCCGTCTCAAAAAAAAAAAAAAAGAAAAAAGATACGAGTCAAGACTTGACGGCAGGGAGTTAATAACTATGTGGACTCCAGGGGGAAGCGGACATCAGGCCAAGGGTGCAGCCAGCCTGAAGACATTAAGGCAGGAGTGTAGTCCCTGTGATCACAGAGTGGCAGGGAGGCTGGGGAGGTGGTGAGCAGGACCTTGGCTCTGACTCTGAGAGATACGGGAAGAAACTTGAGGACTCCATCCGAATTGTGTTTTAAAAGGCCCACTCTGAGGATCACTTGAGCCCAGGAGATTGAGGCTGAAGGGAGCCGTAATTGCACCACTGCACTCTAACCTGGATGACAGAATGAGAACCCTGTCTCAAAAAAAAGGCCCACTCTGGCTTTTACATGGAGAAGAGACTATAGGAGGCGAGAGTGGGCACAGCACGAGCACTGAGTCTCGATGGTCCGGTAGTGAGGCAGATGGAAGAGAGCACCAGGCCTGGTCCTCAGGATGCTCCACAGTGAGAAGCTGGTGACAGGAGAAATCAATAGAGAGATTAAGAATTAGTGATTCAGAGGCAGGAGGAAAACTGTTTCCTGGAAGCCATGCCAGGAGCATGTATGAAAGAAGAGTTACCCAACTATGTGAAATAAAATGAGGGCAGAGAATTGACTCTTGGAATTAGCATAGATTAGGTCCTTGGTAACCCTGATAAGTGGTTTGGTGGAAGAAGGGCAAGGCACCATAGCCTACTCGGAGTGAGTTTCAGAGAGAACGGGAGTTAGCTGTTAGAGGCAGTAGAAAGCTTGTGGAGTTTTGCTGCGAAAGGGAGCAGAGAAACGAGGTTGTGATAGCTGATGGTTGTAGTGGGTGAAGAGAGGTTTCACTTTTCTTTGTGGTGGGAGAAGTTGCTGCATGTTTATGTGATAATAGAAATAATCTCCTGGAAAGGTAAAATTTGCTGATGTAGAAAGGGAAGAGAATTGCTACAGTAATGTCTGTGTCAGTAAGAGAGTGGGCCACAACTTGCAGTGCGGTGAGTAGCTTTAGCTGGGTAGGACTGCGGGCAGTTCCTCTGCAGTAACAGGTGGGAAGACGGCCTGTGTGGGTGCATGTAGTGGTAAGAATCTGTGGAAGTTACCTTTTCAGTGCTTGAGGCTGAAAGTAGGGTTAATGAAGTAGAAGGAAAGCCATCAAGTCAGAGTGAGGGTAGAGGAAGAGGAGTTGGTGGTTTAAAGAAAAAGATGTAAAATTACCACATGGAGCGTAGGAAAATGAAAGAACAGGGTTGAAATGTTAGGATTTCTGGATAACATCAAGGGCCCAACTTGAGGGCTATAGGCATGAATTTAGTGTGGGACTGTTATTTCTCCAGCCACATTGAGCTATAAGGAGTGCAGGTAAAGAGGAGGTGGAGAATTGAATTTAACCAGGGTTGTAGGCAGTGAGGGACAAGGTTGCTGAGGATGTAAGATTGACCATGTGCTTTAGGTTAAGGAGGAGGAAAGGGTATGGTCAGGGAGAGGGAGAGCGATGTGGTGGTACAGATGGGCTGGAGGTGCAGGTGGGGTCAGCATCATATAGTTGTGGTACTAGAGACAGAGGGGTAGTAGGTGATTCAAAGCTGTGAGGCTCTAGGGAGAGCGACCTGGAAGTGGCACTGAGGGCAGGGAGGGCCTATGTATTCCATCTCCACACCAAGTGATGATGCCACGGCTGTTGGAGAGATGAGGGTCCCCATTTTTCAGAGCTTGGGGGTAGCAATGTCCTCACAGGATATTCAGGCTTTCATTAAAGCAGTAAGGTGACAGGAATGTTCAGAGAAGGGGTTCAGGAATGGCAGATCTTGTCAACCCAGCTCTGTAAATTTTAGAAGGCATAGTAGAAGGGTTTTATTTGTGGGGGAGTAGAAGAGCTGTACAGTCTTAAGGGACTTGGAATGCCAGCAGTGAGGCATCCTGGGCTGGTTGTAGGAGCTGAATCAGAAGAAATCGCAAATGTCAGGGATAGGAGGGCATCTTGAGGGCATACTTTTGACTTTTGCTGAGGCCAGGAGCTCTGGAAACTGCTCTTGTTGGCCCTTGTTGATGGAAGATACGAGGCCTGGTGAGATGGAGTATTAGACTCAGTTCCTGGGGGGAGGTAAGTGCTTAGAGCTAGCCCTTGACTCTTGAACAGTCTGAAGCTCTGGGTTGTTGGTCTGAGTACGAGGGCTTCCTTGGACACTGTACTGAAGAGTCGGCAGCCTGGAAAGGCATGGCCTCAGTCTCTTGGTGAGGGATGGCTTCTTTGACCCCTTCTTGGGGAGGAGGTAATTTGTGTTTCAAAATGTCTTTATTCTGATCTTGGAATTAATACTTAAGCTGAGTACAGAATTTTAGGATGAAAATAAATTTTCACACAATTTTGAAGATATTGCAACATTGTATGTGAAGTCTGATGTAATCTTGATGCTCTTTTTTTTTTTTTTTTTTTTTTNAAAAAAAAAAAAAAAAAAATAGCAACACTATGGGTAGGTGAGAATTTACAAGTGGTTAAAACGGGAGAAAGATAATGGGAAGGAAAGGAGGCAGGGGGGAGGGAGGAAACAAGCAAAGGGAACACCTGCGATAGAAGGGACTCCAGCGAAAAATCACAAAAGATTTGTCAACCTCATGTCATTAGGCCAGCTGTCAATCATAGAAGTTAGGATTCTGTCTTTCCACAGAGACTGGAGGAGTCTAAACTTCCTTATGAACATTTCAGAAGGTCGGCTTTCAGGTCCTTGAGAAAGACACTCCTGAACTGAATGAGATACATATACATCTCAAAGGGATAGAGGCGGGATTCATATTTGTAAGCCATTTTTAGTAAATGCTCGAAGGGAGATCCCAGGGGTCTATCATTAGGTGATGTTGGTCAAAACAAATAGTAAATTCTCCTGCACCATTGAGGTCTGGCAGGCATTGTAATGGGGGTGCTGGGGTCATCCTAGGACGTTGTGCTTCTAGAAGCCATGCTAGTGTTTGGCCATCTCTTAGTGCAGAGGCTAGAATGGAGTTGTCATGTGCTGAGAGGTCTGCAGTTCTCAGGGTGGACTTTTTTTTTTTTTTTTTTTTTTTATGGAGTTTTGCTCTTTTTGCCCAGGCTGGAGTACAATGGCAGGATCTTGGCTCACTGCAACCTCCGCCTCCTGGGTTCAAGCAATTCTCCTGCCTCAACCTCCCGAGTAGCTGGGACTACGGGTGCACTCCACCACACCCAGCTAATTTTTTTGTATTTTTAGTAGAGACGGGGTTTCACCATGTTGGCCAGGATGGTCTCGACCTCTTGACTTCGCGACCTGCCTGCCTCGGCCTCCCAAAGTGCTGGGATTACAGGCATGAGCCACCGTGCCCGGCCTGTCTCGGTTGTTTTATTTTTTTCCTTTTTTTTCTGGTTAGTGCAAAAAGACATTGTTCTAGATAAGTTTTTTCCGCACTCATTAAATCATTTGGTAGTCATCATTTAAATAATAATAACTCTTTTTTTGACTTTTTTTTTAATGGGCCTTTTTTGTGGATGTACACTTGACCCTTGAACAACCTGAGTTTGAACAGTGTGGGCCCACTTATAAGCAGATTTTTTTCAACCAAACGTGGATAGAAAATTCAATATTTGTGGATATGAAACCCGAGTGTAGTCAGTGCTGACTGTGGGACTTGAATATTGCATATTTTGGTAGATGTGGGGGTTCTGAAACCAGTCCCCCATGTATACTGAGAGTTGACTGTAACAGCTACATGGATATTTCTGAAGATTTTAGTTAGAAATTTTGAAAGTTCTGTAAACTGTTCCTTTTCTCCAGGGCTGTTTGTATAGTTTGCTCATTTTTATTTTTGTCTCTCGAGCTGCTCCTTTTTTTCTTGTGTCTGATTTGTGGCTGTCTTCTAGGCTGCCTAGTGTAGGCACCCTTAGCTACATACCCTTGTGTATGTTGCTTTCATTTCTCTTTGGCTTCCACACAAGAGGGACGTCGTTCCTGGCCGAGTTTACTTTAGAGTGCGCAGGTTGGAGTCTTAAATTTTGTGCTAGATGTTTGACACTTTGTTCTGGGCCGCTGTTATTGCCGTTGCTTCATTCTCCACAGGCATTTTCTGTACCTTGTCTGCAGGCAAGCCCTTACCTCCCCCTTGCCAGGTGTTCACTGTTTGTGTGTGGCTGTTGTCTTTGGGGTGAGGAAGAAGGGTGTACTCCTGTTAGGCTGCCTGCTAGGCTTTCAGTCTCCCCGTCTCCTGCCCTCCCCGACTCTCTCCTGCCCTCTTTCTGACTGTAGTCATGGAACATTTTCGTGGTTCTTGCTGACAGATTTGTTTCTTTTTCTGCTTCCGGGCCCTTCTGTTCTTGGATTGTGGCTTTCTTTCCCCTTGCACACCCCATCTGCTTTTCAGATTCCAGAATCTGGGGTAAGCGTGGGTTAGGACTGGTAGTTCTTACCCAGATTTCTTCACTTTTATAGATTTCCTTACTGTCATTTTATTGGACTGTTGGAAGTTGCTCTTGCCTCTAACTTGAAACTTGGGACTTAGTTTGCAAAGTTTTTGTGAGCTAATAAAAATATGGATAGCTGTAGTTTTGAGGAGGTAGCTTTTTTAGAGGGATGGTGGTGAATGTAGAGTGCCCTGCTCTCAACTGTCCCTGTATTCTAAAGTTCTTGTGATCATACTATGTACTTTTCTTAGGGAAGGCTTTAAAATATGGAAATTGACCTAACCATCCTGACTTACTTATTCCCTATCACCACCTTGCTCCCCTACCTCTTTCCTTTCTGTCGTTGCTATCCCTTAACTTTTTAACTATGTATAGTCTTTCTACCTATGTCTTTCCTTTTGTATACTTGGTGAAATTTTTCCTTGGCTTAAGCTAGTGGCTTTTTATGTACTCCAGCCTCAGTAAAGAGATGGAGAAACTGGAAAATAAATTGTAGTTAGGGTTGGAGAGTTGCCTCAGGCATGAAAGATTAGGATTTGAGAAATACAGAAGAACTTTCTAAAAAAATCCATCCTAGCACTTAGGGAGGCTGAGGCATGTGGATCATGAGGTTAGGAGTTCAAGACCAGCCTGGCCAAGATGGTGAAACCCCATCTCTACTGAAAATACAAAAATTAGCTGGGTATCGTGGCGCACGCCTATAATCCTAGCTACTCAGGAGGCTGAGGCAGGAGAATCGCTTGAACTCAGGAGGTGGAGTTTGCAGTGAGCTGAGATCTTGTCACTGCACTCCAGCCTGGTGACAGAGTGAGACTCCATCTCAAAAAATAAATAAATAAAAATTCATCCTGGCCAAATTTGAGCCTGGCTGTATCAGTTTGTCATGTAATGAATTTGTTGCATTTAGAGGCTTTTTCCTGAAGTTCCATTCCCACCTCTCCTCTTTCTGTGGTGATATGCTCTATACCCAAGAGCTTTTGCAGTAGGGTAGGAGGGAAATTGCCTGTAAGAAGAATACTTAAATCCACACAGAAAACAGCAGAGGTAGATAGAAAGATAAGGACAAGGACTAAGACTAGGGATAAAGATAAAAACAATCGAAACCTTTACTAATTCAGAGATTTGGCTATTTTGGCAAATATGCCAGTATCCTTTAAGTCTGTATAGATTTCAGAAAGCTGAGTCCTGTAGACTGGTCGTTTCAAGGATACTTATTTTGGAAAGAAGAAAAAACACTTTTTATTGCTTGAGAGGAAGAGTAGCAGTATGACATTCTCTTTGATTTTTGGTATACTGTGTATCACTGGACCCAAAAGGTTGATTCAGTCCCCAGAATACCATGTAGTGTTAGCAGTTGTAGTTTCTGTCTAGACTCAGATTATTTTTTATTGCTTCCATTTTTTCTTTTTGAGAGGTGAAATACTCAAATAACTGGTCAATAGATATTTTATAGATTTAACCAAGGTAACATTTTAACATTTTTCTATTTCCTAATAAAAAAGTTCTATCTCTAGGAAAAAGAGCTATGTGGAAAGTCAACATTTGTCAAATGCTTTCAGGAAACAGTCAGCTTTCCAAATGGAGACAGTAGGACCAGAAGAGGAGCCAGGTGGAGCTACAGAATCCTTGCAGGGCCAAGATTTCTTCGACAGGGCATCACCATTGGAACAAGCACAAGGTACTGAACTATTTGAAATTATTTCTTAATGCATATGTTGTAACTTCCTTTTTCATTTCCTCATTTTGGATTTTGATTTGTTTTGTTTTTTTGAGGCAGGGTCTACTCCTGTTGCCAAGGCTGGAGTCCAGTGGTGTGATCACAACTCACTGCAGCCTCAACTTCCTGGGCTGTTCAACCTATCTTCCCATCTCAGCCTCCTGAGCAGCTGGGTCTACAGGCACACACCACCACTTTTTTTTTTTTTTTTTTTTTTTAAAGGTGGGGTTTTACCGTGATGGCCAGGCTGGTCTTGAACTCCTGACCTCAGGTGATCCACGCACCTCGGCCTCCCAAAGTGCTGGGATTATAGGCGTGAGCCACAGCACCCGGCCACTTTTTTGTGTTTTTAGTAGAGATGGGGTTTTGCCATGTTGCCCAAGGTGGGCTTGAACTCCTGGGCTCAGGTCATCTGCTCTGCCTTGGCCTGCCAGAATGCTGGGATGATGGGCATGAGCCACTGTGCCTGGCCTTTTTTTTTTCCCCTCTTAATTTTTAGATGGGTTCTAGCTATGTTGCCCAGACTGGTCATAAACTCCTGGGCTCAAGCAGTTCTTTCACCTCAGCTTCTTGTGTAGCTGGGATTTGATGCATGCATCGTCACTCCTGGTTTGGATGTATTCATCTTGTATTATCACACGGTAAACTGAAAATGCTTTGGTTTGCATTGTACCTATTAATGTCATATTTACAGTACTTTTATAGGGAAAGGTCTCCTCTTAACCTTGTTAACTGATTTAAGCCGAAATTATTTTTGCTTTGGAAACCATGCTGTCAGATGATCACAGCATAGTTTACATTCAAGACAAGACTACTTTTAGTGCATCTTCCACTTTTCTCCCACAAATTAATTTATATTCGTATCAAGAGTCAATTTTGTTCCTAAGCTTATTTTTATAGAACAGGTGAATTTTAAGTTGTAAAATAAATAATAGTTTCTAAGAAAATGAGGTTGAATGCATTGGAAATACTCAAGGGTAAGTCCTTTGAAAAATTGCTCTTGAGCCAGGTGCAGTGCCTCATGCCTGTAAACCCAGCACTTTGGGAGGACGAGGCAGGAGGATCACCTGAGATCAGAAATTCAAAGACCAACCTGGCCAAACCCTGTCTGTCTCTCCTAAAAATACAAAAATTAACCAGGCATGGTAGCGGCTGCCTGTAATCCCAGCTACTTGGGAGACTGAGACAGGAGAATCACTTGAACCCGAGAGGCAGAAGTTGCAGTGAGCCAGGATCGTGCCAGTGTACTCCACCTGGGTGACAATGTGAGACTCTGTCTCAAAAAGAAAAATTGCTCTGAAATTAGATGTGGAGAAGAAACTACAAAAATAAAAATATGGGGAAAGTTGTTTAAAAAAATTATAGGCTTCTGCTGTTGATTTGTCTTAAGTACTCTACATTCATTTTCTTTCAACAAAGAAACCAAAACTGGAAATTTATCAGTGGTATTTTGTAACTCCAAACTGTAGTTGAGTAGTCAAAAGGCCTTGCCTGATTATACATTGTAAGATTGACGAATGAGTACACATTATATGTTAGAAAAATTTTAAGGGATGTTTATGTTTCCCTTGATGAAAAATGTTACATGTATGAAAGAAGACAGTGATATTGTCACTCAAACAAGCAATAAAAGAAAAAAATAGATGAATTGGACTTCAGAATTGAAAACTTTTATGCTTCAAAAGACACTATCAAGAAAGGGAAAAGAGTAACCAAAAAAAAGTGGGAAAAAATATGTGCAAATCATACATGTAGAAAGGGACTAGTATTCAAAATATATAAAGAACTCTTACAACTCAACATTAAAAAGACAAATGGGCAAAGGACTTGAGTAGACATTTCTCTATAGAGGTTGTGCAAATGGCCAGTAAACACATGAAGATATACTCAATATCATTAGACATCCAGGAAATGTAATTCAAAACCACAGTGAGTCCGGTGCGATGGCTCATGCCTGTAATCCCAGCACTTTGGGAAGCCAAGGTGAGTGGATCATTTGAGGTCTGGAGTTTGAGACTGGTCTGGAGTTCGAGACCAGCCTGGCCAACATGGTGAAACCCCACCTCTGCAAAAATACAAAAATTAGCCAAGTGTGGTGGTGGGCACCTGTAGTCCCAGCTACTCAGGAGGCTGAGGCTAGAGAATTGCTTGAACCCAGGAGGTGGAGGTTGCAGTGAGCCAAGATCGTGCACTGCGTTCTAGCCTGGGTTATGGAGCAAGACTGTCTCTCAAAAAACAGAAAAAAGAAACAACAACAAAAAAATACAAACCCATAGTGAGATACTGTTTTACACTCACTTGGCTAACTATAATTAAAAAAATTGAAAATAACATTTTGGTGAGGATATGGAGGGACTGAAACCCTCATATATTATTGGTAGAAATGTGAAGTGGTACATCCACTTTGGAAAGCAGTTTGACAGTTCCTCAAAACATTAAACATTGTGTTGCCATGTGACTCAGCATTTGCACCCCTAGGTATATACCCAAGAGAAAGGAAACCGTATGTCTACGCAAAAACTTTTTTTTTTTTTTTTTTTGAGACAGAGTCTTGCTTTGTCTCCCAGGCTGGAGTGTGTGGCGTGATCTCAGGTCAGTGCAACCTCCGTCTCCTGAGATCAAATGATTCTCCTGCTTCCGATTACAGGCATGGACCACTACACCCAGCCAATTTTTGTATATTTAGTAGAGATGAGGTTTAGCCATTTTGGCTAGGCTGGTCTTGAACTCCTGACCTCAAGTGATCCACCTGCCTCAGCCTCCCAAAGTGCTGGGATTATAGGCGTGAGCCACTGCGCCTGACAACAGCCAAAAAGTAGAAACAACTCAAATATTAATCAACTGATGAATGGACAAAGAAAATGTAGTATGGCCATATGAGTGGAGTATTACTCATCCACAAAAAGGAACTGATACGTGCTTTAATACAGGTGGGCCTTGAAAACATTATGCCAAGTGAAAGAAGAAAGACACAGAAGGCCACAAAATGTATGGTTCTGTTTATCCATAGGGAAATCTATAGATACAGAATCGCAAATGACAAATTATTGATTGTCAGAGGCTGGAAGGTAGTGGGAATAGGGAGTGATTGCTAATAGGTATAGTGTTTCACTTTGGAATAATGAAAATAGTGGTGATGGCTGTACAACCTTGTGAGCATACTAAAATCTGCTGAATTGTATGCTTTAAAAGAGTGAATTGATACATGAATTGTATGTATCAATTTAAAAAAACTTCACATGTACCTATCCCACTGGTATAAGATTTTGTCATACTTGCATCATCTCTCCTTTTTACTACTATTTTTCTGATATTTTAAAATTTCAGATGCCATTTGTGCATATTTCAATATGCATCTTCAAAAGTGTGGACATTTTCTTACATAACCACAGTGCTATTAACATAGCTAACAAACTTTTATCATCTGGTACAGCTGTTTATAGTGATTTGCGTGTATGGGGGTCTGAGAGAGGTTTTGTTATGCTGCAGTGCCTGTGTTGCGTCTCCTGTGTCAGTGCCTTGTTGAAATACTCTAGGTCAGTCACACTGTAGTTTGTCCCACTATTTAGGTTTGTCCCTTTATTTACTCAAGGTGCCATTTCTTTTTCTCTCTCCACATCTCCTACAAAGCAAAAGTTAGCTATAAAGTCTTGATTAAACACATATTCAAGTTCTTTGGTATAATTTTTTTATGAGTCCCCACCCTAACATTTAAAAAATTTAACTGACCTATGATGGATTCGTATACATCATTTAAAAGTGCCTCTATTCTATTTCAAGAGAAAGATATTTCTTGCTATTTTTAGGTATTGTTGGGTATTTAGTTGGTCAAATAACCTGGTCTCTCAGTTTGTTTTTGTTTTCTTATACAGACTCACCTATTGATTTTCATCTACAGTCATGGATGAATAATAAGGAACCCAAGGTAATCTTTTATATGTTATTTTCTGGAGTGTTATAGGGGAGTAAAAGTTTATATTTCACGTATATAAGTGTTAATATTAGTTAGATGTCATCTACTTTTTTATAGTATAACTCTAACTTATCCAGCTTCAGTAAAAATGGGAGTTTCTCAAGTAATTAGAAGGTTCAGGAATAGTGCTGATGCATGGTACTGTATTCTTGGGCTTGGTGATATTGTCAGAGCTGAGTCCATCTATTTACTCTGCTTTACTCTACTGGCTTCATGTAGAGTGTTAGCTTCATGAGGGTAAGGGTGTGTGTGTGTGTGTGTGTGTGTGTGTGTGTGTATGTATGTGTGTGTGTGTGTGTTTCATTGTATCCTGAGTGCCTGAGTGTCTGGAATGATGGAATGGTTCTCAGTCCTTAGTTGTCACTTAATAATTTGTTAAATGATAGGCAAGCTGTCTTCATTTGTTGGCAACACAACCCTATACTCTTAACACTTGTGATCAGAAAAGAAGTGAAAAAAAGACAGGTCTAATGAGTTCACTTGGCTCATATGCAAATCACTGTGCAAACCACTGTGCAAAGGGGTGGGTTGGGATGAACCTGGATCTAATGTCTACTTCTGTGTGTGTGCTTGTATATGAGTGTGTATACATGCACAGATAGAGGAATGCAAGTGACAACCCCACTGAACCATGTGAAGTATAAAGGATGGGCTCTTCAAAGGAAAGATGCTGAGAAGATAGTTTATGCCCAACATTACCACCAAACCTGGATTTCAGGCGTGCAGTCATGAATTTATGAGACTTATTTATAAAATATAAACTAAATATTGCTAAAACTTATAAAAAAGAGATATACTTTTTGTTTATTTTACTTTTATGAGAGTTGTAAAGATTGTTTTTATAGAATGATTGCAAAAGCGTCTAAAGTAAAAGTTACTTCCCTGTGCCAGCGATTGGCAAACCATAGCTTAAGGCCTACATCCAGTCTGCTGCCTGTTTTTGCAAAGTTTTATTGAAATACAGTCATGCCCATTTGTGTGTATATTTTGTTTATGGCTGTTATTTGTGCTACAACAATGAAGTTGAGAAGTTGTGACTGAGATTGTACAGCCCATAAAGCGTGAAGTATTTATTATCTGGCCATCTCACAAAATATTTGTTGACCCTCCCCTATGTACTCACTCTGTATGTGACCCCTAGTAAGTTTCAAGTGTGAGAGATGCTTTTTAGAGGAAGTTCAGATGTAGTGAAGTTGAAATTAATTCAATTAATTTTTGAAATTAATAATATAAGGGACAGTAAAACTGGAAAGCAACAAAAGTATAGAAACTTGAGTTGCTTGATTAAAAAGAGGAAGAAATGAGAATAGGGGAAAATAAATGTGTTAGAAAACAGAGAGAAGGGAGCTGCTACTACGTGTAGGTCTCGTCTCATCTGTGAAACTATGCCACTTTATCAGAATGGAGACATTTTCCAGGGACCAGGCATGGCAGAGTACATGGCATTCTCAGTAGCCAACATGACCAAAAAGACAGGGACATTTTACATACTGTTCTTTCCCATATAGATTTTTTCCCAGTTCTCTATTATAAAGACTTTTCAAAGCACAGAGCTTGTATTGCACAACTGTTAACATTTGCCATATTCTAAGTGATCATCTATTTTAAATAACAGTGGATTATAGTGGTCTTTGGTGCCCCAGTGGTTAGATATTTTTGAGAATAGCTCAGCACTGTCCTCTCTAAATGTAAAATTGGATTGAGAGACCATGTTTCTGTCTTAAAAATTAGTGTGCATTTTGCAATGTACTTGCTATGCTGGTGTTATTTATATATATGTAATATATAATGAAATATAATCACACTTGGGAAATGTTACGTTTTCATTCTGGACCTTGAGTATCCTTAGTAAATGGCTGCATGCTCTTTAGGGTTACATGTTCTTTCCTGGTTGAGGAGCAGAGAAATTGATTATTCCAATGTAATGGTGCAAAGAGTTCCTTAGTTACAGGCTGCTGGATCCAGGTTTGCTCTTTTTTGTAAGCCTTGTGTTGCTCAAGTTCAGTTATATATTTGTGTACTTAATATATTATGAGCCACTCTAAGCATGTGCACACAGTTTGAGAGAAGCCATAAGTTTTAAGGATGTCCCGTTGGTAGGTCAGGTGAAGGAGGTGGCATGGGGGGAAGGAATGTTATTAATACATGTACAATTACTAGCCCTTCATTGCCTAAGCTGTGATTTATAGATACTAAACATACTGGAGTTTGAGAACATACTTGGCCCTTTTTGTGGCCCTGTACTGTACTCTTCAGAGCCCTGAGTGAGTGTGTGCTTCTCTTACTTGCCATTTTGTTTCTTATAGATTATTGTGCTTGATGCTGGAAAACATTTTGAAGACAAGACTCTAAACAGTGACTTAAGCCACACTAGCTTATTAGAAAATGAGAAACTTATGCTACCGACAAGCTTGGAAGATTCTTCTGGTATGACAGAGTAACCTGCATTTCCCTGGTCTTCACCTTGCCACTCCACTTTATTCTTCTTTGTTGCAGTGGTTATGATGCCAAATTTTTAGGGCTTTCTTTGGTCCTTCCCTTTTCTTCCTACCTGCCAGCACTCAAATGGAATTAAGTGATGGAATTCAAGAATTTATTTCTGTATATCTGTCCTGATATACTCATCCCTCAGTTTAACATTGTTAGGGTACAAATGGCACCTGGAGGTACCATTCAGTATACAGCACTGTGTTTAGAAATTGGGGGGACCATGAAATTTATTTATTTTTTTTTTGGTTGAGATGGGGTCTCACTCTGTCACCTGGGCTGGAGTGCAGTGGCACAATTTTGGCTCACCGAAACCTCTGCTACTGGGTTCAAGTGATTATCCTGCCTCAGCCTCCTCAGTAGCTGGGATTATAGGCATGCACTACCACATCTGGCTAATTGTATTTTTGGTAGAGACGGGGTTTCACTATTTGGCCAGGCTGGCCTAGAACTCCTGACTTAAAGTGATCTGTCCACCTCAGCCTCCCAAAGTGCTAAGCATGAGCCACTGTGCCCGGCTGGAACCATGAAATATTTGGCCTCTGCTCTTCGACATCTTAGGTGGGGAGAGGAGGTGCAGAACCAAATGTCAGATCGGGTTGCATAAACCCAACAGGACCCCAAATGTGCCTGGGATTGTAGGGAGTGAGGAATTAATTCTGGTTGAGGCAGGTACTGAAGCATTCTAGAAAAAGGATGGAACCTGTGCCAGGCCTTAGATATGGGAGGAGGACATGTCAGGAAGCAGGAACAGTGTCAGCAAAGGCACAGCTGTGAGGCAAGTGGGTTTTGTTTGGGGATCAGCCAGGGGTTTTGCATGGCAAGTTTACAGGACCTATAGGAGGCCACATTGGTAAATAAGCCCAAAAAAGTAGACTGGGGCCATGTCATGCATGGCTTTGAAGGGCAGTCTGATGAGCTGAGTGTGCATCACATCCATGGAGGGCAGGTTTTGCTGCCAAAGGAGTTTTCACTCTTTTGGATTTTTGAATTGTGGTATTGACCTGAATGTATCCAATCTTTGATTGCTTTAGTATGCTAGATTCTTGGAGAAAAGATTGCTAGGTCAAAGGTGATGAATGTTGTTGAGACTCTTAATGTTGATTGCAAAATTGAACTTTAAAATGGCATTGCCAACTTAGAAGACAACGACTGAATGAGAGTTCATGTTTTAGTTTGTGCTTACTGAGCTGGGTGCTACAGCATTGAAAACCCCTGCAGTGGCCTCCCTCCTTCCCTCTGTCCTCCCTCCTTCCTTGCTTTCTTCCTTTTACTTCTCCTGCGACAGTCTTATCTATACTTTTTTGATAGAGGTAACCATTTGCCACACCATTTTCTGAAGAATCTGCTCTCTTCTCATTGATCTGTGATGCCACATTTATTGTATCCTAACTTTCGATAACATGCCAAGATCTGTTTCTGTCCTGTCTTCTCATAGAGGTTAAATATTTACCTTGTATTAAAATTTTCATAATGATTTATAGTTGACTGAAGTTACAAGTTATCTCATGTCAAATAAAAAAAAATCTTAGACTCATTTATGTCTTAGCCTTTTTAATTACAAATTATTGCTTAGTCACTAAGGCATATTCTGTTTTTTTTCTTAATTTATCAATAGATGATGATATTGATGATGAAATGTTTTATGATGATCATTTGGAGGCTTATTTTGAGCAACTGGCAATTCCAGGAATGATGTATGAAGACCTAGAAGGACCAGAACCTCTAGAAAAAGGTTTTAAATTACCTACAAGTGATCTTAGTCAGGTATGTTCCAGTCTTGATGATTTTTCAGAGATTTAACATTAGAAAATTACTATTGGTCTTATTGGATGTTCACATGAAATGTAAGCTTTTGGTTTTCTTTAGACTGTGTTTCCCATGTATGAATTGATGAGGAATGCCTACCCTTTCTTCCCTCTTGCTATCTTTCCCTCACCTACAGAAAATTAAAGGAGTAACACAATGGACGTCTACACCCTCTTCCTGCAGTTAACCAATTGCTAAAGTTTGCCACTTTTGCATTTTCCTTTTCTCTCCATAAATACTTTGTTCTCTGAATCATTTGAAAGTAGATCTCAGAGAGTATGACATTTCACTTGACTACTTCAGCATTTATCTTTTGTACATAAGGACATTTTCCTACATAATCATAATTCTGTTATCTAACTTTGATATAATAATTTAAATTGCAATGCAGTCCGTATTCACATGTACCCAGTTGTCCCCAGAATGTCCTTTATTCTTACTGTTTTGTCATCTACAGTTTAATCAAAGATTAATCTTGCCTTTGGTTGTCCTGTCTCTATTCCCTTTTAATTTGGAGTAGTTCTTTCATGAGGTGATTTATTTTGTAAAATCTAGGCCCTTTGTTTTGTAGAGTGTACCGTAATCTAGTCAGGAGGGAAAAATAACCATAATCTGTTTTTTTTTTTTCTTCACAAATCAATGAGAAGAGAGCAGACTCTTCAGAAAATGGTGTGGCAAATGGTTACCTCTATCAAAAAAGTATAGATAAGCCTATTGTAGAAGAAGTAAAAGGAAGAAAGGGAGGAAGGAGGGAGGAGAGAGGATAGCAGGGAGGTCACTGCAGGGGTTTTCAATGCTGTACCAGCTCAGTAAGCACAAACTGAAACATGAACTCTCAATCAGTCCTAATCTGTTTTTTTTTTTCCTTCCTGACTAGATTAGATTAAATATTTTGGCAAGAATACATTAAACAGTTTTCTCATGAGTGGATTCATAGTAAACATAGGCAGTGTGGTATACTTCTCTTTGCCTCACACTGGGAGACGTTTGTCTCTCCCATGATTGGTGATACTGTGTTTGATAATTTTGGCTAAGGTGATGTCAGCTAGATGTCTCCTTGTGAAGGTAGTTTTACCCCTTTGTTATTAATAAGTCATCTGTGGGATGAGATATCAGAGCCCATTGAACATCTTACTCTCTGACAACCCTCCACTACCTGGTTTCAGTATCCTTGCTGAAGCCTCTTAGAAACATTGGTTACTTTCTTGGTGACAATGGCGATTTTTCTAATTCCTTCTACATTTATTATCTGGCATCCTTCAGTAAATCCATATTTCTCCCTCAAATTATTTCATTTTAATTTAAAAGAGTAATACAGCTAAGATATTCTTTCAACAGGCAAATGAAAACAGTAGCTTAAACTGCAAGTTTCAATCAGAAAATAACAGCTCTCTGATTTCTTGTGGCTCACACTCTTCTGAAACAACTTACAGAGATTCTCAGGAAGGCCAAATTATTTGTCTGCCTGGGACTAGTAAGTATAGAAATATGATTCTTTTGTTGTTAAGTTCTAGTTTTGACTTGACCTTTTTTTAAAACAAAAAATCATTTCTCTGGTATAATTTAACATATATTAACCTTTCTAGTCCATCAGGTCTTTTGACAGTCTAAAACTTTTCAAAAGAGCTTTTAATAATAGCTGGGTAAATTAGTGTTACTAGAAATACTGCAGTATGTATTTCTTGGATTGAATATCATGAATGATGATATCAATAATTAAATATGAATTCTTTCTGTATGGTAGCAGTTTATCATGTATATTATTGCCTGTTACTGTTGCTTATTTTCTCTTTGTGAAAATGGCTAAATTTGTCATAGGAATGCTAAGTATTAGGTTTACATAAAATAATTTGACTAGCAAGAAGCAGTTATGTTAGATCATTCAGATTTGATGTGGCTCTCTTAAGATTTTTCTTTATTTTTCAGATAACTCTGTAGGTACTGGAGGCAGTAGAAGGCACACAGATGGTATGTTACCATTTTCCTGTGATACTTGGAGAATTGAGAAAGAAATGGAAAATTTGAACAATTTTGTTCCAGATCTTAGCAGCGTAAGTTATGCATTTTCCTTAGATTTCCTATGAAAAAAGGAATAAGGAGTGTTTTGTGTTTGTATGATATCAATTCTTTTCAAATAAACAATTACTGTTGACTTTCTAAAAATATAGAAAAAGCATAAAAATCACTATTGATAATGTATTCTATATGTTTGTATCTTTCATACAATTGTATACATTTTCTTGCATTTAAATATTTAATGACTTGCATTTAGATTAGTCATTTGGAAAGTTCTTTAGCCCAATGTCCAGTCATTAAACGAAAAAGCAAGAGGATCTTTTACCTTGCTCAAACATATTTTTCATTGTTTCAGGTTTTTGTTTGTTAGTAGTACCCCATTTCTCCTGTACCTAAAACGTGGCAGTCATTTCTGACTCTTACCCATTCATTACGCCCTTTTTTAGTAATGTTATTATAGTTGTATAAAGTATGACTTGAATTTTGCATGTAGGTTAATTTGTTCTCACTTAGACCTTGTCCAGTATTGATTAAAATAATGCTTGCTTTTTTGCTTTATTCTTTGTATATCTATTTTGTACATGTTAAATATGTGTTTGTTTGTTTATTTATTTGTTTGAGACAGCGTCTTGCCCTGTCGCCCAGCCTGGAGTGTAGTGGTGCGATCGTGGCTCACTGCAACTTCTGCCTCCCAGGCTAAAGCAATTGTCCTGCCTCAGCCTCCCAAGTAGCTGGGATTAAGGGATGTGCCACCACACCTGGCTAATTTTTTGTATCTTTAGTAGAGACAGGGTTTCACCATGTTGGCCAGGCTGGCCTTGAACTCCTGACCTCGTGATCCGCCTACCTTGACCTCCCAAAGTACTGGGATTACAGGTGTGAGCAACCATGCCCAGCCACATGTTACATAGATTTTTAATTTAAATTTTAACTTGCAAAATACATATAACATAAAATTTACTTTTTTTTTTTTTTGAGATGGAGTCTCATTCTGTCACCCAGGCTGTAGTGCAATGGCACGATCTCATCTCAGACGATCTGCATCTTCTGCCTCCTGGGTTCAAGCGATTCTCCTGCCGCAGCCTCCCGAGTGGCTGGGATTATAGGCACACATTACCACATTACCACCCAGTTAATTTTTGTATTTTTGGTAGAGACGGAGTTTCACCATCTTGGCCAGGCTGATCTCAAACTCCTGGCCTCAAGTGATCTGCCCGCGTTGGCTTCCCAAAGTGCTGAGATTACAGACGTGAGCCACTGTGCCTGGCTATTATCTTAATTATTTTTAAGTGTACAGCCCAATAATGTTAAGTACATTTACGTTGTGCAGCCAGTCTTCAGGACTCTTTATCTGGTAAAACTGAAACTTTACCCATTAAACAACAAACCTCAATTCCTTCCCACATTTCAACTCGTGGTAACTACCTTCCGCTTCCTGTCTTTATGAACTCGCCTACTCTGGATAACCTAATATAAGTGGAATCATACAATATTTGGCCTTCTGTGTTTGCCTTATTTTATTAAGCATGATGTGTTCAAGGTCTATTCATGTTGTAGCGTATATCAACATTTCATTCTTTCTTATGGCTGAATAATATCTGTTATGTATACCACATTTTATTTATCCCCTCATCCTTCAGTGAACACTTGGATGTTTCTGTCTTTTGACTTTTGAGTATAATGCTGCTGTGAACATTGGTATACAAATACCTGTTTGAGTCCTTGCTTTCAGTTTGTTTGGATATATGTGTAAGAGTGAAATTGCAGGGTCATATGGTAATTCTGTTTAGTGTTTTGAGGAACTGCCACAGTGTTTTTCATGGCAACTGCACTAGCTTACATCCACCAGCGAAACACTAGGATTTCAATTTTTCCACATCCTAGTTAACACTGTTTTTTTCCGGGTTTTTTTTTTTTTTTTTTTTTTTTTTTTTTTTTTTTTTGAGATGGAGTATTGTTCTTGTTGCCCAGGCTGGAGTGCAATGGCATGATCTTGGCTCACTGCAACCTCCACCTCCCCCGTTCCAGTGATTCTCCTGCCTCAGCCTCCCAAGTAGCTGTGATTACAGGCATGTACCACCATGCGCGGCTGCATTTTTGTATTTTTAGTAGACAGGCTTTCATCATTTTGGTCAGGTCTCGAACTCCCAGCCTCAGGTGATCCGCTTTGGCCTCCCAAAGTGCTGGGATTACAAGCATGAGCCACCTCGCCCGGCTTTCCCTTTTTAAATTATAGTTAACCTAATGAGTATGAAGTAGTATCTCATTGCGGTTTTGATTTGCATTTCCCTGATGACTAGTGATGTTGAACACCTTTTCATGTGCTTATTGGCTATTGTATGTCTTCCTTGAGGAAATGTTCGTTTAAGGCCTTTGCCCACTTTTTAATTGAGTTGTTTTGTTGTTGTTGTTGTTGAATTATAGCAGTAGGGAGTTTAATTTTCAAGTGATTGGAGAACTTCTTGTTATTGAGCAGTAGGAAGTTTAATTTTCAAGTGATTGGAGAATTTCTTGTTATTCTGCTTTATGTTTTCTGGATATTAATTCCTTACCAGATGTATCAATTGCAAAATTTTCTCCCATTCTGTAGGTTGTCTTTTACTTTCTTGACATTGTCCTTTCACATCCAAAAATTTTAAATTACGATGTAGTGTGGTCTATTTTTTGTGTTGCTACCTGTGCTTTTGTTGCCATATCAATGAAATTGTTGTCAAATTCAATATCATGAAGATTTTCCTGGTTTTGTCTAAGAGTTTTATAGAGTTAGCGCTTAAGTTTAGATTGTTGTTCTGTGTCTTTGTGAAAGAAAAAGAAAAAAGGGGAGAGAAAAAAGATTGTTGATTGTTTTGAGTTTGTTTTTATATATGGTGTTTGATGAGGGTCTCACTAACATCATTCTTTTGCATGTGGGTATTAAATTTTCTCAGCACCATTTATTAAAAAGGTTGTTCTTCATGGAATGGTCTTGGCACTTTTGTCAGAAATCAATTTACCATGGATGTGAGGGTTTATTGCTGTGTTCTCTATTCTACCCTATTGTTCTATTTGTCTGTCTTTCTGACAGTGCCACACATCTCTACTATATCTTTGTAGGACATTGGGCAGTGTTAGTCCTCCAACTTAATTCCTTTTCAAGATTGCTTTGGCTGAGGCCCTTTGCAATTCCATATGAATTTAAGGATCAGTTTTTTCATTTCTTTAGAAAACTTTCTTGAAATTTTGAGAGGGATTTTGTTGAATCTACAGGTCACTTTGGGTAGTACTGATAACAATGTTAAGTCTTCATCTTCATGAACACGCAGGATGTCTCTCCATTCGTTTATGTCTTTAGGTCTTTCGAAAGTGTTTTGTAGTTTTCAGTATGTGTTTCACCTCCTTGATTAGATTTATTACCAAGTACTGTAGTTTTTAGATGCTGATGTAAATGGAATTGTTTCCTTAATTTACATTTTGGATTGTTTGTTGCTGGTGTTAAGAAACACCTGATTTTTGTGTGTTGATCTTGTACCCTCTAGATTTTTCTCACCATGTTGGCCATGCTGGTCTTGAACTTCTGATTATTTCAAATGATCCATCTGCCTCTGCCTCCTAAAGTGCTGGGATTACAGGCATGAGCCACCAAGCCCAGCCTTTGTAATCTTTAGAATCAGTTTGTTAGTATCCAGAACTTGCTGGGGTTTTGGTTGGTATTAAATTGAATACATAGGTGAATTTGGGAAGAAATGACATTTTGACAGTGTTGAGTCTTCCTATCCATGAACATTAAATATCTGTTTGTTTGGTTTTTTTAAATTTTATTTCTTTCTCAGAGTTTTGTAGTTTTCCTTTATATAGATGTTACATATATTTTGTTAGATTTATACCTAACTTATTTCATGTATGGGAATGTTAATGTAGATAGCATTGTTTTAAATTTCAAATTCTACTTGTTCATTGCTGTTGTATAGGAAAGCAGTTAACTTTTATATAATAAACGTGTATCCTGTCATCTTTCTATAATCATTTATTAGGTCCAGGAATTTTTTTTTTTTTTTTTTTTTTTTTTTTTTTTCATGTCACCTGCAAACAAAGATGGTTTTTATTTCTTCCCAACCTGTATACATTTTATTTCCTTTTCTTGTCCTATTGCATTAGCTAGGACTTATAGTATGAAGTCAAAAAGTAGTGGTGAGAGGAGACATCCTTGCTTTATTCCTGATCTTAGTGGAAAGGCTTCTAGCTTCTTACCATTAAGTATGATGTTAACTATAGAACTGGCCGGGCGCGGTGGCTCAAGCCTGTAATCCCAGCACTTTGGGAGGCCGAGGTGGGCGGATCACGAGGTCAAGAGATCGAGACCATCCTGGTCAACATGGTGAAACCCCGTCTCTACTAAAAAAAAATACAAAAAATTAGCTGGGCATGGTGGTGCGTGCCTGT